GACTGGAGCCATTAATGATGTCATGCGACTATTGCAATATCATTCAGAGAATAAAATGGACAGATTTCCAGGAGACAGCATCTCAAAGGAAATGATTCTGGGAGCAAACATTTGAGAGTCAAGATAGAGGGGCCACATTGAGACAATACTTCAATTGACATCTAAGCCACCAGGGACATTTAAAAATCATCTTTTCAGCAACTATTGGCTCAGGAGGGGTCCAAATTCAAACCATCAGACACATTAAAGACAAGATCCTCCAAAGAATCACATCCTAATCTATCTCCTGGAAAAAGTCTACGAACAGCAAGATTCAATACTCACATCAACCAATTTCACCACAGGAGACTCCTTGAATATCTTCAGCCAAGGGAATTGTGCAGAGCCCACTGAGGCAAATGCACGACCAAAGTAATCGGCAAACCGCATCAGTTGTATATCCTGCTGCGATTCATACGATGCCTGCGCACAAACAAATGACAGCACATCAAACCAAAGATCACATCTTCCTTTCACAGATTCACAACCTCAACAACAGATCAGAGATAAACAAAGCAAACCCAAACGCGGTTCTAACAAGAGATCACTGACCGTTATGTCAGCGAGAAATGCACTGAGATGGCCCGCGTCGATCTTAGCGGCCGCCTCAGCCACCGTGACCTTCGGCTTCTTCGGCTTCTTCGGCCTCACCTTCCTCGCCTCGCCGCCGCCGTCGTTCTCGACCGCGCCGGCGACCTCTGCATCGCTGTCGTCCTCATCGTCGGAGTGCCGCTTCGATCCGCCGGCGCCGGCGCCCACCGCGGCGGCGGCGGCCGCCGCCTGCGCCTCGAGGACCCGCCGGCGCCGCTCCTCGGCGTGCAGCTCGATCGATCGGAAGACGTCGGCGTCGCCGTTGGGTCGGGCGTCGTGGCCGGGCCTCTCCGGCTGTGGCTTGGCGGCCTTCCGGTGGCGCTTGGGGTAGGAGACGGTCTGCCACCCGTGGCCCTCGTCCTTCTCCTTGTGGGCGGAGCCCCGATTGGCAACCTGGGACCCCCCCTCCTCCTCCTGCTGCTCCCTCAGAATCTGCTGTATCAGAGCTGAATTCTCGTCCATTGCCGCCGCCTCCGCCGCCTCCGTCGCCGGACAAATCAACACCCTCCGTCGACAATTCGAAAGGCGCCCCCTTTTTCCCCTCTCTCTACAAAAAGCGCGATTCGACGTCAACCCTTTTGAGCAGCGATGCGAGACGAAGGGCCTGCGGAGAGAGAGAGCGAGAGCTGTAGAGAGAGAAAGAAGAGAGAGAGTATGAGATAGAGGAGGAGGTCGACGACGACGATGGACTTTCTCTCTCTCTCCTATATATATAGGTTGGAGGACACGTGGCACGGTGATGGCATGTGAGTTGACGGTTTTGGGCCTGCTCCTTGGAGGGAATGACGAGTTGGTGCCATTGTGATATCGTATTATTTTAGGAAATCCGGATTAGGATTCCGGATTAGATCTTATGTTTTGGAATCGATCGGACATTATCTTTCCAATATCAATTGATAAAATCGTACATCCATCTGTATCCGTGTGTATCCGATAAGTGCATTGAAAATCCTAAAAACTGTTCACGAAAATATAATTGAATCGATTGCGCTTCTTGAGAGTTTTAGGACCCGATTATAATTTCGCGACGAGTTTCGGGACTTGATTTTGCCTTATGTAAGTTTTAAGACTTGATTGCACTTTTGTGATAAGTTTTACGACTTCGAGTGCATTCACCCCTTACGCAAAAAAACACCGCTTTATCTTGCTTTTACCTCTTTCCAAAAATCGGCACGGTTGCCAATTACCGGTTTGAAGGGTTGGGTGAAAACGTCATTTCACCTCGCAAATTTGTCTCCCTTTTAGATCCATCCAATATTTAGGAGATTCTAAAGATGTCATTGACCGGAGAAACCACAATTTCTTGCCCAAAGTAATCTCACATTAAAGAAGCTACCAATTGGTGCATTTTTGGGGATAAGGATGTGGCCAACTAGGCTGCACTTGCATATTTGAAGGGAGAGGGTAGATCAATCCATCCCACGAATGACCCTACCGGACCTTCTCTTTCGTAAGATCGATTTGAAATCCATTTCAAAAATCTCAAGTCGATCGAAACTATGCTTAGTGGCGTATAAAGGTAATGTTGAATGATCGATCGAGTGGTGGATACCCGTAACACGATAGAGATGATAAGATCTGCTTGAAAGGGAAATGCGAGGACCGTTAGGCGGCATGGCCTGGGATGGAGGCTTAAAAGGGAGGTAAGTATGGTCATTTGAACGCATCGATTGGCCAAAGAAGGGCTTCTCGAGAGCTCGAATGGGAAAGGGGCAAAATATTGAATACCTTACCTAACTTTTGATGCTGAGGTACTAATATAGAAGCATGGCCAGTTTGTCCCCGTACATTGGTAATTGCATCTTAACAAAATCAAAATTAGTGGACAGAATCTTGAAGGGTAATAGAATTGAACATCCTAACGTGAGAGCGTGAGCAGTCCAAGGGGGAGAAATTGTACCAAAAAGTTATATGTCAGCGCCGGTCATATCACATAGGACGGCCGGTGTGATTTCCAGCTGGAATTGACTGAATGGACTCGATTGGTAAAATGCGAAAAAGTTTATGACTAAATTAACACAATTAGAGAGGTTTATGACCGAATTAACATAAATGCAATAGATTTAGGACTTTCTAGGTAATCTTCCGACAGAGCAACTATCACGATCTCTTTCGCGACAATGACTTTGTCTTCGTTCATTCTATTTACCACGACTCCCCATGGTCCCTCCCTCCCTCTTGACCTTGCCTAACATTCTACTCGAGTGCTCAACAAAGTCAAAGTACAAAATAGGATCCCCTCCCATCCCTACACCCAATTGAATTCCTCGAGCCACATGTTGAAATTTGGCGAAACTCACCTAGGGTTTGCCCAATTTGGTCGTCTACCACGGTAAAATTTCACAGGAAGTTTCTGCAATTATTGCTGCGGGTCCTGTTGCATATGCATGTGGAGCCTAGGTGGGACTCACAGAACTGATCGGCTGCGTGCATTAATTGTCCTATCGTTTTTATGTAAGTCCAAATAAAAAAAAACAATTCAATGAGTATCTAGATTTTATTATTTTGCTATATCGAGTGCTTCGACTTTTAAAATATGGCTTGATGCAAGGCATTCGTTAAAATTATGGACAGAAAATACTAACACGTACACTAATGCGCTAAATAGCCATCGACTGTAAACATTGGTGTTCGACGTGTTATCTTGAGATGATGTCGCATTCTGAGTTAATAGTCTCTCTCTCCTCATTATCCAAACACTTAAATGAAGATCGCATGATTTTTGTCAAGTAAGCAAGCCATTTTAGCAATTATGCTTTACTTTTGCTGACTAAGCGAGTTAATAGCAAAATTGCGTGACCGGATGATCAATTTGTTCTACAATTTGGACTGGACTGCACTTTCTGAATTCATGATCGAAATGCAAATTCTACTTTATACATCTTAATCTTTTGGTAAGATAAGGTCTAAATTTTTTTTTTTTGGTCGAAAGATAAGGTCTAATTAGCTTGCTGTAAAATTTACCAGCGTTCGCTTGTTCGACTATTAAGCATCGCAGGCGCTCGTGGTGCAATATCTCTCTGCCCACTTTTACGGTGCGCATATCTATAAGGTCATCTGTCTAATGAATGTCTGATTTTGCAAGGTTTCTGTCAAATTAGATTTCAAGAGGAAGAAGCAAAGAAGATCCAATGGTAAAGCCGACACTCAAATGCATAGAAGATTGTTGTGCCATGAGGAACAAAACATATGGATGAATGACAGTGTATGCTTAGGTTAGAGCAAAGACACGAGCAGAAGATTACACTTTAATACGCGAGTCACAGCGTACCGACAAACCAAGCCTTAGTCCAAACAATGTCTGCGTATTACACTATTTTGGAAATAGTTTCCCTATCAGCAAGGGCTAGTTTTGCTGAAATAAGCTAACTCAATCGCTCCATGCAAGTTCTCGATGCGCACACCTCCAGTAGATCGAAAGGGAAGGGAAGGGAAAAACGATGATCGGTCATGGCACAGTTGCGAGAAGTACAAAATTTAAATTTATCGTGTGAAATGTGATCGTTCCTCTGTTGAGGTATCTAGATTGCAGATTTCTACAAACATGAAGCACAGTTTGCAGATGCTGCAATTGATATTATTTAGAGCAGAATGAACCAAGCCCTGTCTGTCACCTTCACTCTTCATCCTCCCTAAGTCATGAAAGCTTTTCAACAAGAACCTTTCATTGACGTTCTCAAGGGAAGAGACCCTCACGGCACGAGACCAGCGGCCTTACTCTGTCTGTCTCTCCATATTTCCCAACCAACACAACAAATGCAGATTATGTCCCACTGAAAGACCATTGAGGTGTATCTTGATGCATCTGTCCTATTTTAGTATTCTTACGATCAAACTATTTAAGGTCGGGAATCACTTCTTCAAAAGCAAGTGCAAAGATTAAACATCAATCGTTTTATAAGGAGTATTAGTCAAATTCTTGTTGGTTTCGATGGGAAGGATCATTTATGAGGTTTCATGTTCATTCGGTTCTGGAGTACTAAACAGGTGGAGCCTTGTCAAGAAAATTTCGACCTCACAACACTGCTGGAGCTCTTTTTTCTCAATCTCAATTGAGCTTAGTTGAGTCGACCTCATTACATTAATGAGTCGAGCTCGAACAGGATATGCAACACTCGATCAAGCACTAATTTAGCTTTGTGCACCGAGTAATTGAGTTGAGTTGAGTTGAGATGAGCATAGAGCCTCGCCCTGTATCCACTCGATTTAGTTCAATTACTCCCCTCCATTTACCTTCCAACTGTTATCCTAGGTGGGAATTAGGGAAAGGTGCTTTGCAAATACTAGAGTGGACATCAACATCAAAATCAACAGCATGAACTTCTTACACAGAATTTCCTCAGGCATCAAACTTGATCACCAAGTGAAGATGCTAAAAAACTCAAGATTACTTATCAAAGTGAACCGTAATCACATTTGCAATGGTAAGATAACTGACTTCCAACTTCTAAGATCCAGGAAAATGGATATATTACTGAAGAATGCACTTAGATATAGGAATGTACAATAATATCACTAGATGAATGACAGCAGATTCTATCTACAGAAGGGCTATGAACTCATTTCCTAGGTTATAAGCACTCAAGAAACCACCTATGCGTCCATGAAAAAATTCTCCCGATTCTAATAACATTAGTTAAGTGGAACCTGCACTTATCGGTGTGATGCGCCGAGATCGTAGCGACGGAAGGAACGCATACTCACTTCCTGGTAAGTACTTCCTCGATGATCAACCTCAACCGTCGACCGAAGACATCCAACTCTGCCGACCTTTGATCTAGCAAACGCCCCGGCCTATCCTTGGTCGCGGCAAAGCTAGAGTCGAGGCTATCCGAAAGGCAGCTACATCTGCAATAGCAATGCAAACCCTCTTGCGAAAAACCCGCCTTGACCTCTTCCAGAGACTGATCAAACACATCCAAGGCAGCTCTCTTCACCAATTCACCAATCCCACCAGCACCACCACCTGAGCCACCAGTCTTGTTCAAAATCGCAACCCCATCCCCTCGCCCGCCGAAATCGCAATCAACGTTCACCTCTTTCATCTTCAAGCCTCCATGACGATCACCACGCACGGCACGAGCGCCATTTGCATCGCCATGAACACCGTCGGCGGCATAATCCTCCTCCCCTTCTTCCTCCTCCTCTTCCTCTTCCTCCTCCTCCTCGTCCTCCTCCGCGCAACCGATCACGCCCCTACCGTTCTCGTCCCGGCCCTTCGACCCCAAATGCAACTCCGCGGCGAAACTAACCCTAACGCCGACCAAGCCAACCCCATCGTCAGGCATGGCATCGCCGCTGCCGCTGCCGCTACCCGCATTGCTACCGACATTGCCATCAGCAGCGCCAAAGTGGGAGGCAGATGCGTGCTTGGGGCTCCAGAGCTTCTCGGAGAGGTCGAAGAGCGCGCGGTCGTGGGGGGAGAGGCGGGAGGGATCGAGGGCGCCGCGGTCGAGCCGGGAGGACACGGCGCGGTACTTCTTGCGGAGGCCGCGGAGCTTCTCGTAGAGCTGGGAATTGGAGTAGGGCTGGGAGGAGGAGGAGGAGGAGGAGGAGGCGGAGAAGCGGCGGTAGAAGACGCGGAGGTCGCGGGGGAAGGAGAGGCTCTGGGAGGAGGCGCAGTCGAGGAGGCACTGGAGGAAGCGGATCTCGTCGGGCTCGGACCAGATCCGGTGGAACTTGGAGGGCGGCGAGGAGGCGGCGGGGGGGTCGTGGAGGCGGTGGTCGGCGGCGGTGGAGGCGGCTGGGTTAGGGTTTTTGCGTTTGACGGGGAGTTTTGACGGTGGCTCGAGTGGCGGTGGCGGTGGCGGTGGCGGGGTGGAGGAGGAGTCCATCCGGCTCCGGCTAAGGCTTACGGGCAAAACCCAGTCGCGACACAGGGAGACGGGCGGGTTGGTTTGGTGGTGTGGATCGACTGGGTTGCCTGGGGGTCTGCTCCCCCGAAAAATAATAATTATTTATTTTTTTCCCCCCCCTTTTTTTTTCCTGGCTGTGTTGAAAAATTTTAAAATTATGTTTCACGGGATTATTTTTTCCCCGCCCCCCTAAGAAAATAATAGATATTCGGGGGAGAAAATCGCCTAAGTGAACCAAAAGAGCACAAAAAAAAAAAGATAAAAAGAAATGTGACGTGATGGATGTGATCTTGGGGTAAGTGACCAACAACATTTACGTAAGTGCCGCGCATTCAGACATAAGTGGGCATTAAATTTTAGTAACTCTCGATCAACTTGCTTCTTTATGCATGTGCCGATCATATCGTGCAAACGTAGGATTATAGTCGCAACAAATTAACAGTCGCTTCATTTGTATTAGCTCCGAAAGGCGACCGATCGAAACCCAAACGGGTGAGATCGCTTTTAATTACACATATCTATTTATTTTTTCTGAACTAGGTAAGAAGAACAATTGACGTGATACATATGATATAAATGTAAGTGATCAATGGATGTACGTGGTGCCGTGCATTTAAACTAACTGCCACGTCAAATTTCAACGACTCTCACTCGACTTGTTCCTTAACTATATATGATTATCACGGTGTGCACGCTATATAAGAGTTGCACCAGATTATAGTCAAGAAACCGATAGTTGCACTATTTGTATTTAGCTCTAGAAGGCCACTAATGAGAACCCAACAAACTTGATCGGGCGGCGCGGATAAAACTTGGAGGATCATGCGATGTCATTGAAGCTTTTGATCCCACGGATCCATTTACTTTTTGCAAGAATTTGCTTCCAATCTTGCGTATGTGGCAAACACGCATGACAAATGTACACCATTGATAGATTCTAGACCCGTCGCTTCAATGAGACATGGACAGTTAAGCAATTGCCTGGCCTTTACTTCCTCGACGAAGTACATCGATCCTCACGCTGCAAGACTTTCCCATCCTGTAGGAGAACAAGGAAGGAGACCCCATAAACGTTCTGCAAGAATTACTTCCACAAGAATTCTCAAACCGTGCTTGCTTTCATGAGGTAATTTCGCTACGAATCGATTGATCTTTGAATGAGTTCTATGTTTGTGGCCGTGAATGTGGAAGTCCATCCATGTGCAATTTGGACCAACAGATTTTGAGAAAACAACCTAAATTGTCGGAACAATTTAACAAAAGGGATGCTCGCTTTCATCTAATTAGTAGACCATTCCATGTCATGAAGTGACCTTTCCTTTCCTTTCTTTTCACGACCCTTTGTAATTTGCATTAGGGCAGAAAACCAATATGATGTAAAACTGCTGTTTTCATGTTTTGGGCATGGGATTTTAATGTACAAAGAAACCAGCCACCCACACCAACAAAAACGCAAATTTTTCCCTCTTTTTTTTTTTTTTATGCAGCTATCCGGAGAATAACTTAGGAGCACCTCTTCAGGCCATCTATATCCGGCGAGTAATGTGTCGAAAGTCAGGTCATGAACTGCGCAAAGTCGCATCAACATCTTCAGTCATAGAGGGGGGGCTATGACCCAGCAGAGAGATTGGGGAGGAAATGGTGCTGCTCTGTCCCTAGTCCATGAACCATGGGAGGAACGTGGACCGCCTCAGGATCAAAGAAAAATTGGCGCCGACCACCTACTCCGAAACCAGAACTGTTAATTCCAGGAAAGCTAGGCGGTTTTTAGTAAGAGTAATCTTCTCCTTTGCTTCCTCTGCCTTTTCTCTCACGCCACGCACCACATCCTCTGGTGCTTTCTCTACAAACTGCACGCTCAGAAAACAAGACCCAAATGTCATTAACACGCACTAAAATGCTGAAAATGAGATTAAAGAGAGTAATGTCCTCCCCAGTGAACTTAACAAGCTCCTCCTCGAGTGAGATAAATAACATGAGGAGTTTTTAAAGTTACAACGTGTCACATCTGCATCCCTGATTTCTTTAGCCTGATGTAAGTGGACACTCAATCCAAAAAAATCCATCCGCACGTGTAAGTGTACGATATGCTGGCAAATTAAGGTGGGATCAACAGCGTACGTTAGGGGAATTGAGACGAGAAACAAGCCCATCATACTCCGTCTGCATTTTAGATAGGCGTTTAGAAAGGCGTTGAAGTTCAGCAGAGATATCAACCATATCAGCAAGGGGGAGATAAGCCTCCAGTCCTTCACTGGCAACTAAGTGAACGGATCGGTTTGCATCTCCTGAGTTTATAGGCATTGAATTAACCACAATATTTTACAACTCATGAAGGCGCCATAAGAAACAACAAACAAAACTGACTGCAGTCTGCAGAACAGGAGAAAAAACAACCAATATACAATACATACCTGGCGGAGATTCAGTAAAACGGACATGATCTAAATCTAGGCGGGACAATAAAGCTAAAACCTCCTTCTCTTTCTGCATAAAGAAACGATATACAAGGTCAATTAACACTTTGCAAAACTCTGTGAATAATGTCTCCTTAAATGCTGGCTAGAAAACTCTTTTGAGTAAAAGCTAAGAAATTCTCTTGCTAACACTCAAAAAATGGGTTAAAACACTCTAAAATTAGAAATTATTAGGAGATATGGGATGAATCAGCTAGGAAAAATGTGACACTAAAGGAGCAAGCCTGATATACAATATTTCAACAACAAGACTAGTTAAATATAGTATCACTCGCATCCCAGAATTTTTACTATAGTTAATGCAATGCAAGATATGGATTCTTGCTTTTCCCCATGGAAAACATATGTAATATTTTATTACCATGTTTCCTTATCGAGGGACTTGTATAACTGCTTTTTATCATATCTACTACAATAAAAACTTGTTTAAACTCCAAAGACAATTCCGTGGTAGGATTAAGAGGCAAACTAAGGCAATACAGTAATATTCTATGAAAGTTTTAACATTCTAAAGTCATCAAAACTGTTCAGCATTTTTATTGTCCTCTTCAGCATTTGTCGGTGACGGTAGACTATGTGACAAAGAACAGAACATCTTACAGATATGTAATCAATAACATCAGAGCTAGCCACAATGGATGCAGAAATACGCTTCGCGGGCTCAACAGAGTACTCAGCACGAGCATTTCTGATAGCTCTTGTCTGAAAAAAACAAACAAGAAAATAATTTGATTAGATACCTCTGTTATGATATACCTTCTGTTAGAGATGAGATAATAAAAGTTTCATGCAAGTTAAGATTGTTTCTTTATAAGAAGAATCAGGAATCAATCTGTTTAACTTACCAGAGCTTGTAAGTTTTCATATTTTTTAATTGAATGGATTTGCCTCGGAAGTGAAGTTCTTGGCCAAGGAGATACCATAAGGGCTTCTTTCCTATTTGGCAGAGACTACATGTAAATCAAAAGATTGAATCAGCAAGAGCTTAGATTATAATTGTTCAGGTGTGATAATATACATAGTGCACACCAAAGTATACTAAACCATTCAACTGTATACTAAACCATTCAATGTTATCCATACTTTTCAATCTAACTCCACGCTATTGTTATGCAAGAAACCATCAAGAAACTTCGAATAAGGTATTAATGAAGCTACAAATTTACCATAACTTATAGAAATTTGCAAAGGAAAAAAAGAAAGTAGAGGGATAGTGAGGCTTGGATATATCGATCAAGCTGAGTAGCAAAAATGCCAATGCTAAGTTACAATGTGTGCCACAGGCTAACAGTTTTGTATGATGAAAAACAAATCAGAACATTATGCATTAGAACATCAAAGTAGAGCATAAAGACTCATCAAAACAGAATGAACAAAAGGATTCCTTCTCTCTACAACAACTTTCAAAACCCTGACCAGGGGTTTGAGAGATAGCTCCAAAGCCACGGGAAAGGAAAAAAGTTGGCATGCACAAGAGGATTACAAGACAACAGAGGAAAAAAATTGATAGACTGATAATTTCAATGGTCAAAATCATTTGATGTCTCTTACTGATGTATAAAATTGCAACTCATCAACTAGAACAAAGAACATCCATCACAGGTTTAGAATGTCCATTCACCTGCCATAGTTCTTCAGTCACAAAGGGCATGAATGGATGCAGCAATTTCAATATATTCTCAAAAACATACAATAGAACAGCCTGCGCAACTGAAGCTATTAAGTGACTCTCCTTGTGATAAAGCCGAGCTTTACTTGTTTCAATGTACCTAAAAGCATGACAGTGAGAAAATTACACTCAGGCAAATGGAAAGAGGATAAAAAGTTCATGCAAAGAATCCATAGTCACTTATCCAAAGCTAGTTCTTACAAAAGAAAGCATAGCAATCTCAAACATGTTCTCCCTTAAAAAAACAGTTTCTCTAAAATATTCAGTGCAGAACTACATGTTCATTAAACAAAACTGTACATAAGTTGATTGCCTATTAGACTATACGTATCAATCACTTATAGCTTAGCCAAATATAATTGTCAGAGATTTGATAAAAAGTCCTGTTAGCAGAATTTTGAAGAATGCATTTCCTTATTTCTCATGTCATAAAATACCACACTCCAAAGATCTCTCTCCTCTCCCACTAAAACATCATTTCCAATAAGTCCTTGAGAGGCTTGCAGCAATAGACACATGAATATCAGTCTCTCTTTGTGTAAAAAAGTTCTTTCCTAGTAGACTACTTATTCAATGTTATCGGATTGCTATAATCCCCTTGCAAACTGAATTTGAGGTAGATTCTCCAGGATTTGAGTACATATGTTTGGTTGCAATCTGATCAACCCGACCTCTAGCTGAACAATTTAACATGTCATCATAAGCTCGCGAACAATTATAGCACAACCTAAGCTAACTGACTTTTAACTTGTGAATAATAACTTGGATTCATAAAGCTCTTGGTTTATTTACTTATATTGTCAAGGTTGCACTTATTTATGACCACTGAAAAAAACTACTAGAGAGATTTATTATCCCTATAGTATATAATGGTTCACTCCAAATGAATACTTGGAAGAACCACAACTCAAATCAACAAACCAAGATTTTTTTTAATAGGTAATACAAGATCCACCATAGGGCGCCAAGGGGGTGCAAACACATAACCAAAACGAGCTCATTTACGAGAAAAAGTATAGACAATGCCAATCAATGCATTCGACAAGTCTCCACAATATCAAAAGTGTAAGAACTACAATGTTGACCAGTAGCATGCCTCATTCTTGTTCCTGTTCCTGTTGCATGATGAATAAAGTAAGCAGCTTTGACAACTAGGATGCTGATAGTAGCATATTAAAAGAGATTACCAATGCATAATGAAATTTATGGCTAGATCTATTCCAGTCAAACTCATGGACTGGCAATGTACTTCAACGGGTGGAAAGAATGGGAATTTAAGTGCTGCGTAAGATTCTAGGTCATCCTACTAAGAGCAGATTCAAGGGTTCCATCAAAATAAAAGGAGATATGGACCTAATTGATTTCAATGGTAATATCTTTGTTGAAAGCGATTCATTCGTTTATTAGTTCAAGAGAAACAAGCAACTCCAAGACCATCAGAAAGGGGAAAGCAGCAAAACTTCGAGAGTAATATCTTTGGCTTTGATGATCGTGGGTACTATTCGAGAGAAACAAACATTCCAAGGCCCAAAAAGGAAAGAAAGAGGGAAGCAACAAAAGGTTGACTACATTCTGCATCATTAAGTTTGACATTTCGACCTCGAAGAACAATCCTTTGAATGAAACTTGTTCAAGCTTATATGCTACAGAGAGATAATGAAACTTTCACATTGACTAGGCCTGTATATTCATTGCCTGTTGATTCAACAAGACGGATTATTCTCCCAAAGAGTAGCTTCTACATAGTCCCAGCTACATGTAATTGCAAGTGAGCAAGTTAACTCATAATGCACAACATACCAGTCGGCGAAATCGCCCCAAAAGAAATCATATGTTTCTCTTCCAACGTCTCCGAAGAAGAACTTGTCATAGCTTGTGGTGACCGCATCAATAAGCAAATGCAGTTTAGAGACCTGAAAAGTCAAAGGTGTCAGACTACATATGGAGTAAGCAACATCAACCAGCGCAAAAAATAAAAATAAAAAGAATTTTCTCAAGTTGCTCACCACCCAACATTCTGGTAAAGGTAGCCTGAGCAAAGCCTCCTCTTGGTCAAACTGGAAAATGGGGACGAGCAGACATGTTTTAGGTGACATGATAGGTCAGGGTCGCCCTTCTAATATAAATAAGATAGCAAAATCAAATGAGGTTTAATTTCAGTATTCAACAGTAACTACATATTCCACGTGAGTCCATATCTTAACTTGAGTTGAACTAAGTGCTGAAAGTTTCCTTTCAAATAAGAATTAGAGACCTGCACTAATTTAAGACTTCAAGCTTCCTTCTGGTTCTCTCACACAGAAAATATGTCGCATGGGTTAACGTAGGCATTTTATCTAAGTCAAAGGGAACCAACTCTAAATTTAGTTTCTATCACTGTCATCTTACAATGCTTAAATTTGGAATTACCGGTAAAGACCAGTACACATTCAGTGATCAAAGAAAAAGTGGATATTAAGTAATTCCAATAATTTAAACTATTCTTTTCCAAGGTGCACCAAAATGCCATAGATGCGGCCAAACTCCTAAATACTCTTGGCTGCATGAATAAAGCAACTGAAATGAAGAACCATAAAAAAGCTGCACCATTGGATGGTAAAGTTACATCAAACCCAGGACTGAGGATGAAGAAATTAATCATAAACTGTCTCAAGATAATTCAAGACTTGTGTATGATGGTTCACAAACCAATCAAATTCTCAAACCTTATGAGCTGATATTGCTTCCCAAGCAGATAAATCACTTTGATCGGGCAAATTCTGCAGCGCGAATTTGCCAGCATTCCATAGTTTATTGGTAAAGGCCTTGTTAGCAGTCAACCTCTCAGTTGATAAATTAAGATCCTACGAGAAAAGCAAGTAATATTAGCAGATAGAGTCACATCTAGAACATGTAGGTGTTATACACATGCAGAAGCAGCAGATCTTTAGACATTTCATTATCTCAAAATCATCACATACAATTCGGAACAGATGGTAATCAATCTCCCAAGATAATACGTACCTGACCAGCAGTTCCTAAAGCAACTGTAAAACGTAAGGCATCTGTGCCAAACTCGCCAATAGTATCAATTGGATCTATCACATTTCCCAATGTTTTTGACATTTTCCGCCCCTTAAACATTTGAAAGGAAACAGGTAAGAGTGGCTAAAGAAATTACAAGCAAAAGTACAGATACAAAATGTCCAACGTATAGCTTCATAAGAATTACAGTGCCTATTGCTATGGCGCTATAGCCAAACCTGAAAATGCATCAATTAAGGTGTCATACTCACTTGTGAGTCACGGATAAGACCATGCAGATAAACATATGAAAACGGAACTGTCCCTGTAAATTCAATTCCCATCATGACCATCCTTGCCACCCAGAAGAACAATATATCATGCCTGAAGAGATGGAAAAGACATTTTTTAGGCAGTAGAATAAGAAGACGAAAGTCTATGTGGAGAATATACTCCAGAATGCAAGCTAACTTATTAGCAGGAAACACCTTGCAGGTCAAACCAAAAAGCCTTTGGAGAGATTTACTACAATCACTTGAATGAGCCCATGGATTCAAAGCAGCAGAAAAAACAAGCCCACAAAAATTTACTTTGAACAAGTAATGCATATTCTCTTGAATGTGCTTGTGTGCTGGTTAAGGGAGTCATTAATATTGTCCGTTTCAATCACACTGCATAAAGTCAACCAAGCTTCCAGCAAGGGAGCAGTAACCAAATCTCCAGTTAGAGATCTTGGATATAGAATTACTAATGGAGAAGCAAACGAGATGTACTTACCCTGTTTCTAGCATTGTAGTTGGATAGAAGCGACTAAAGTCTTCAGCCGAAACATCTGGCCATCCAAGAGTACTGAAAGGCCACAAGGCACTGTAGAGCCCACAGAGATATGTATTTAGTCAAGCGGATGCATCCAGTTGTACAAGTTTCTAAAAAAAGTGTTCGTCATGAAAACAGAATATTGAAAATGAATGAAGCAATTCCGTAGGCTTCATATACTTCATTTACTTTAAACCCAATGAGGGGTAGGGAGGACGGGTTTTTCTATTTGCCACATGCTAACATCATGACATAGGAGAACAATGAATTACAACCATTTTTCTTTTATAGTTCTGAGTAGCTATTACACTGAGGGACACTAATAAAACAGCTGTGCTCTATAATCAGATGAATATGCACATGCTTCATGGTATTAAAGATGCTTTTGACCATAATTGAATGTTCCTCTTCATTTTTACATATGTTTTACACATCACGACTCAAGATAATGAATAGTTCTGTAATATTTGGTTTGATTATAACAATATCAATTTTGAAGCATATTCATAGAATCTAAACTTTAGCTAAATAAATAGCAAAACTGAAAAGGTGAAGATTGTCGTAGAAACAACTCTACCACTTCCACCGTCAAGTACCCCCATGCATCATATGCTCAAGTATCATTATTCTTGCGGATAGTTCACATCAAGAGAGTTTCTTAATACTAGTTAGCATGAACCCATATATGCTGACTACAGTTAGCAAGTCCAGGTAACTTGCCAAGTGAACTGACCTCATGACAGAGAGGGAAGAAATATTTTCCTACATATGTGATCTCATGAATAAGCTTAGAAATACCTCAGAGAATATAGAAGGGTTATGCAAATATAAAAAAGTCACTAGGGCAGGCATCCATGATGCCCAAAAATAAAAATTAACTTAGTTTCCAAGTAATGAAATACAGAATTGTTTCAATGCTTGCCAAGTTTTTTATTCTTTTGCCAATAATCCTTCCCAACTAATTAGTAGATCAATTTATTTAAGGGATCTTACTCTAGCACAGACCATCTAAGATCTGCAAAAGCCCATCCATGTATAATTACTATGTCCCAATAAGGCTTGCTACTTCAAAAAGGAAAAATCTTCACTATGTAATGAAACAGTCAACTGAAAAGCTTTCGATCAGCATAATAAACAGGCATAGAGAAACTCTAGCTCTAACAAAGAGACAGACCTGGAAAACCAAGTATCAAGAACATCTGGATCTTGGTATATTTCTACATTCTTCCCATACTGCTCCTGAGCTTTCTGAAGAGCTTCGTCAGCATTCCGAGCAACTATATATACTTCTTCACTGTCCTTGCCAGCAATATACCAAACAGGTATGCGATGTCCCCACCACAATTGTCTACTTATGCACCAATCCTTAATATTTGATAGCCAGTGATGGTAGATCTGTAATGGAAAACTAACTGGCTCAAGTGAAAGAATGAAGTAAATACTGCTGAACAGAAAGTACAGTCGGTATGGACAACACTCTAAAAGTTATATTCGACACTGATCGTGTATCACCATGCAGAAATCACTCTTTCTTCATCCAAAGGAGCAGTAAACAGTACTAAAGTAGCAAACAGTAATTAAAACTACATTTTTTTTTGGGTGGATGGAAGTGGAGGGAATAAAAATGAGAACTTTTTTTAAGGTAATATATCCCCTAAGAAGGAAATTTATTAAAACGATTTAAAATGAGAGAAATAATTCCAGCCTATTATTCCTCCCCTCTTTATGGGAAGGTTTTAGGTAAGAGCATTCCATGCCCACAGTTGGTTCCCACGGGAGGTAACAGAGGGAAACTGGTGTACTAAATATTTTTTTTCTTCTAAAAGGAAAATGTATAAAAGAAAAAATGAGACATCAGATCAATGCTAAATTCGACTTCGTCTGCTTTGTAAACCTTCTACATATGAAAACATTAAGGGAATTGCAATTTCTTCTCACTTCTTTTCACTTGATTTCCTGTGTAACATAAATTTTATCAAACAAAGTCTAAGAAGGGTAGCGCTCCCCAGTAAAGCTACTAGAAATAAACCATAGGAACACTCTAAGAAAGCACAATAAAATTCCAAATTTATTATGACGGATAAATTAGTCTTCCTTCAGTTTAGCATACCTTCTCAAATCTCTCAGGCATGATTGTCAATTGCCCCTTTTCAACTGCTTGAAGTGCCTTCTCTGCTAAAGGTTCCATAGATACAAACCACTGCTTGCTTACCAATGGCTCTATAATCTAAACGGAGGCACAATGGGGAGACAGATAAGAAGAACGCCAACAGAAAATGACCCTTGCACAATATCAGTAGAAGAAAAATGAACAAGAAAGTATTTTTAAACTTACTTCTCCACCACGTTGTGATCTAGGTACCCGTGAGGTGTGCAGTTCCTTTTTAACAGCCAAACCAGTTTCTTCGAGGTCTGACCAAAGTTTCTTCCTGGCTTCAAAACGATCAAGGCCGCTAGACATTGGAAGCACACAATGAGTAAGACAGTTTTCTCCATTGACTAAAAACTAATCTCACACGACTAGGTTTACCAAAATAGCCCAGCAACTTCATTTAGCGTCCCATCCTTGTTCATCACGTTGAGTATAGGCAGACCGAGCTTTCTGGCGAGAAGGTAATCATTGTGATCATGCCCTGGGCTTATCTTCAAGACACCGGTACCAAAGTCCATATCAACATACTGCACCATTAACAAAAATCAATAATCAGCATCAATGAAATATACCTATAACTTCTTGAAATAAATATGATGAGCAACAAATAAATCTAATACAGAATAACAAGGAAAAAAAATCATTGTCCTTCCAATGTAAAGATCATCGCATGGTGAACAGTGATGGCCAACTTCAAGGAGTTGCTTGGATCGGCCAGAACAGAGAGCTAAGGTGAAAAGGACAAAAGTGAGCCTCAGGATGGCAAATTTGGGAGGTTGACTTAGCCAGAAATTCATTAGACTGGGAAGCAGGAACCCAACTCCAATGGTTAGCAAGAACCAGATAGGCGTCACAGGAAACGGATTTCTTGAGAAAGAGAATGAAGAGCGATTAACCTCCTGCTACTTTCAATGCCCTCGGACAGCAAGCTGCTGGTTGCAGCTCTTTGATATATTTGCATTTGAAGGGTTGTAGCGAGGACAGTAACTGAAGAGCAAAGGCATAACTAGGGGGCGTTTGGTAACCATTCTGTTCCTAGAAACAATTTCTGCTAAGAAATGATTTTTTTTTATTTCATTCCCAAAAATAATTTCTAAGCATTTGAAGGCGTTTGGTAACTGCCCAAAATTTCTATTCCTGGAATAGAAAAAGAACAAAAATGCGTTTGGTAACTGCACAAAATTTCTTTTTATTAATAATATATTAATAATTTTTTGAATTTTTTAATATTTCTTTCTTTTTTTTTCCTTTTTCTTTTTTTTTTCTTTTTTTCTTCTTCTCCTTCCTTGGCCCATGGCCAGGTCGCCGGTGCCAGCGACCGGCCATAGGCCAGGGCTGGCGAGGGCATCGTGGCCCTTGCTGGCAAGGGCGAGGGCTGGACCCTCGCAGCTTGGGCGAGGGCCGCCCTTGCCAGATTTGACGAGGGTTTAGCGAGGGCTACCCTCGCCCAAGCCGCGAGGGTCCAGCCTTCGCCAGATCCGGCGAGGGTGGCCCTCGCCACTCACAGCCTGGGCGAGGGCGGCTCATGGCTTGGGCGAGGGTTGCCCTCACTAGATCCGACGAGGGCAACCCTCACCTAGGCCGTGAGGGTCTAGCCCTCACCCTTGCCAGCTACATGCCAGGAAAGAAGAAGAAGAAGATAAAAAAATATATATTATTTTCCATTTCTGATTCTTATTCCCAGAATCAAGCATCAACTCTTTTTGATTTTTGATTCTGTTCCAAAACTGATTCTAGGAACAAATTTGTGCCCGGGAACAAAATATTTACCAAACGGATTTCTGTAATTTTTTTGTTCCCCGGAACAAAAAAATAGAATCAGGCATTGTTTGACCGGTTACCAAACAGGCCCTCAAAGGTTAGACAAAAGTCAAAAATAGACAACCCATTGACACCTTGAACTATTTTGTGGATTGTTTAGGGAGGGAGAAACCAATGGGCCTAAAGAAAGGATCTTTACCGAAAGGGACAGGACAAACAGTCTATAAGTTCACATTCTTGAGATCCCGGCAACAATATATTGGACAAACATACTCCTTTCTATACTATGGACACTATAGATACTATTTCTTTAAAGTGCTTATGTTTGCTGAAATCCTGCTGTCTTCAACGAGCACTTTATGAATCAATTACACCACCTGGCCCAGGGTGTTCACAGTCAAAATTTGATCTTTCATCTATTAAACAAAGACCTAATCAAAATCTTGGCCTCATTTTACTGGAGATTCAGGAAACATAGTATGATATATAAAGACAACAACTCTAATAATATCAAGGAACAATGGAAGGCTTTTACCTTGTCTGAGATAATTGGAACATGACGGCCATATGTCATGGGTACTATCGCCTGCCTACCAATGTACTTAGCATACCTATCATCCTGCAACAATGCAATCACTTTAGCTTTTGTCATTGTCAAGACTACCCAAAGCGAACTGCCCAGGCTGACCCATATGATCTCAAGACTATTTACTCTAAAGACTTAAGCCATAAATTAAGAACAATTAGAAGCTAGCAAGAAATTACATTTTCAATTCAACCATTAATAAACAAATTCCTACTACATTCCAATGTCACAAAGAACCCAAAGCACCTAGTCAATTCCATAATCAGGCTTTCCTATCGAAGCTAATATACCTTAGGATTGACTGCGACGGCAACATCACCAAACAAAGTTTCTGGACGAGTAGTAGCTATTGTCAAGTAATCATCCCTACAAGAAGGAACTCATGTTATTATGGATGAACCAAGCAACTCTTGTCAGATAATTGCAAAAGAACTATCAACCTCAACATCCTACAAATATTTCAAATAAGAATGCCAATGAACCATGTTCACATTGAAGTTTATGCTCATCAGTAAGACACCCAAAATAGAGCCACAACACTCCAAATTTAGCCTATACCAGAATGAAATTCGTATGAATCTGTGTGATTGCTGCTGGGTTCTATAGTTTTATTTTACTACAATGGGATAAAAGAAAAACTGAAATGTTCAATCTCTTAGCTGTAGCGGATTCTTATGTTTTTGAATTCCAGTAGGCAATTAAACTGTCTTAAAGACTTGAACTGAAGGAGTGCATCTCAAACCTTCCAAGCAATAATATCGTTCCCATCAAGGAAAATTATAATCGATGCCAAAATTCATGCCTTGGCAGCCGGAGGTGGCAACCCTCTCCAGAGGTGGCAACCCTTGCCTATCCTCTGGAAAGGGTTGATCTTAGCTGTGTAGCAGTCTGGTGCTCCCATCTCTCTATCCCTCTCTCTCTCACAATTTTCTTTTTTCCTTTTTTTAGAGTTTTCTGTGTTATGAACTTATAATGTGGCACTAGCACAAGATATCAGCACCACATGGAGCTCTTGCCACGTCTACAATTTGACGGAGTAACTAATGGAAAATGATGCAAAAACTTGATTGCAGAAATTGTGCAAGTTGGATGACTTGTTCACACAAACAAGAAGCTAGAAGATGAAGATGACAAGACACCACGAGTTTGGGGATAAAGAATGGACGTAATCCAAAATACCAAAATTTGCAACTTTCTGTAGATGCAAGAAAGAAAAACATTACCAAACCATTTAATACCTTGAACCCCCAGCAACACGATACTTAATGTGGTACAGTGCACCAGGTTCTTCAGAATATTCAACTTCCTAATGAAAAAATGGGATGAATGTCAAATATTATTACCGAAGAAGAAATGAAGCAGTAGAGTTAATTACTCAATGAAAGATAAAAGAACTTACTAAGTCAGAAACTGCAGTCTGTAGGTTAGGAGACCAATTAACCATATATGACCCTGAAAAAAACCACATCCTTTCATTTGTCTACTTACAGAACTTGCATCTCCACTTGTATGCACAGAATTGATTAACCAGAAGTAATTAACACACAGATAGGGATTCAAGTTTCTGAGAAATGATGAAGTAATCTATACCGATACAAGTTTATGAAAGGCCTAATCTAAGTGACAACTCGTACTCAAGCAGATAAAATATGCTTCTATCAGATTAGTTTTCATCCTTGGGTCATAAATATCACAGAGCATGCAGAGGTTGCACCTAGCAGTCTCTTTTTTTAACTTTCTGTCAGGAAAGAGTAATGTCACGAGTTCTGAAGGCAAAGGTAAAGTGCATGAAAATTTAGTTGCCTGTTGAACTCCAGTTTTCCTAATTTCCAAATAATTCCTTGAGAGTTTAACTGGCCTTTACAACAATCCAATTATCAAGGATGCAAGATAGCAAAGCCAAACGTTTACATGAGGTCGGTAACACAGACCGTGCAAACCTTCTTTTGCAAGTTATTGAAATTCAAACTTAGAATGGACCAAGAAACAAGTGGTCACTAATTGACATGCAGCACAGACAATATTTGACCAATATTCTCAGGATTGGTCAAACACAATGACATAGCAACTGTGGAGGAGAAGATGGCAATGAGATACTAACTTCTAATGTCTTTCCTCCGGGTTGTACCTACCAATTAGCTTACAATTTGATCTAGAACTACTCAAATAATCCAAGACAAAGCTTACTGTATACCTTGATAAATCAAGCCCTTCTCATGAAGCTTCACAAACGCCTCAACTACGGCTCCTGAAAACACAATAAAACTCACTCTCAGAATAGAACCTTAGAAGAAAAAGCCATGAAACCTAATGAGATAATGAGTTAATCATTACAAAATCTCACATGCATCAATTGGTCAAAACTCCATAATTTCAAAAATGAATTGAACTAGCAAGACAATGACAAGAGAAAACAACTTTTCTGGAAAGTTAAGAAGAGTGAGAAGCTAAGACATATGGACATCTGAAATAAGTAGAATGAAAAATGATAAGACAAAACTAGATTAGGATTGTTGGGTTATATATAAGAATATCCATGGACGAATAGACAGAAGAATAAAATTCATATTGGGAGAAGAATAAAGAAATTAAAAGGTAGGCCCAAACCTGATTAACAAAGAAGAAAAAGAATTAGATGAAAGCAGATGTAATGGTCCTCATTTTCAGCAAGAATTAAATATCATGGTCATTAAGTAGAGCATCCACCCAGGAGGAGCCTATCATTTAAACTGGTTGAAGCACCCTATTGAGGCATCATCTATCTAGGTCGAGGTATCCATTAAAAAGAACTTACTTCCACTACAAGTATCTATCAATCTACATTAGCTCATTCTCGAGCATTTTGTTGCCAGCTTTCAATAAAAATCACATCGAGAAACACACAATAATTTGACCCGAACTCCATGCACTTAAATAAAGAGAAATTCTGTTGCAGTTCAGAGATTGCATCATAACATAATTCCATTGTTATGCAGGATATACCTTAGAATAAGAGTCTTAAGAGAACAACTATAGAAGGACTTTTATTCACATCTCGAACATCATAGCATAACACCTCATATAGTTTATAAGATATAAGCAAGGATAGAGAAACATCCAAAAATTTTCTATCTCTTATGATTCTACTTGGTTAAAAACTGCCTTACGACTTAGCTGCTCATCAAGGGTGAAGCGTTCTCTAGACCAATCACATGAGGCACCGAGCCTTTTGATCTGTTTCGTTATGGTTCCGCCGTACCTAAATGTCAAGGATATATAAATGTTTAAGGGAAGATATGACGAAAATTTAACTATAGAAAAAGCGGACAGCATTCATGTCACCGTTAGCGCATGAAGAGAACATTTACAACTACAACACAGCTACCACTCACAGAACACTAACTAATTCTAACACTAACTAGGTCCACCATTACTTTTGCTGGCCATATATAGACTTCAAACAGATAAGATGAAAATCGCATGCTCCCATCTTCATCTCTAATGTTTAAGGAAAATGCAATGCTGAATTATGAAAATAGAAAATGCAGGCTACCACCATAGTTAAAAGTCGTCAAAAATAGTAGTTTTTGTCTCACAAACATGGAGTAGAAATGAGGTTCCATGAGAGGCGTTACAATCAATTTCAAGAACAGTTCTTTTGGCGCAAAGAAATTTCCACTGTGATAGAATCATGGCATACATCCAAATGTCAAAGTATGTCAATTGCTTGTACAAGGAATATTTTGAAATTACATACGTGTATACTCTTCCCCCAAGTAACTTCAACTTTTCTGTTGGGATTTTTAACATGATATCAAAGCCAAGTTTAATTTCCCACATGCCATTTAAAATTCATTTTAGCATCCTCATTTACAGTCGTCACTCTCTATCGGGTTTGCACATGATAGGATGTTAAAGTATCTCACCTTTCTTGTTTACAAGGTTCATCGATGTGCTTGTCAACACGTATCCTCCTACGCTTAATAGATTAAGCTTCTCAATTGGAATTCTAAATCATAGAAAAATGCTTCTAGTAAAGTTGAGAAAGAAGTGAGGCAAAGCTAGGGCAAAGGGAATTTGGAAGACCAGCTAGAACTCCCCGTTTAAGTAATTACATGCAGCACTAAAAAACCAAGATTCCTTAACAACTAAAATAGACAAGCCATGGGTGTTACATGTCGAGGGCTGGTAAGGTTTTGCGTGGAGTGTCAAATTAAACACATTCTTCACCACTTATGCAGGTCCCCATTAACTCCTTCGAGTATCAGTCTTTTGCCCACACTTCTACGTGGAGTGTTTCACACATTAGCTCAATCAAGATCCACAAAGACCAAGGAAAGACACTCACCATTAGCTACCGGGGTAGCTAATCCTGTTATCTTCTTCTTGAGCTAGTAAAAGTCATCACTTACATTCTTCTATCGAACTCATAAATAAGGTCATTCTAATTAATTGCTGAGCAATGAATTTAACTGAAGAAAAGACAAATTGATAGCAATGTTTCGTAGAAGCAATCCTTTAAACAAGAAGATTCTAGTTGGAAAGGCATAAATACTTCTCTTTCCATTCCCATACACGTTTGGTGAACTCATCTCTACTCAAGTCGGCCCTCTTTATTCCTTCAGATGCAAGCATTCTTTCAACTACCAACTGCAATAATACCGAAGCCAAAAGGCAAATGAGTTTCAATATCCACATGAACTTGGATCGTCTCAAAAGTAACTAAAGTTAAAAAATGATAAGGTTAATATGACGTATCAACAGAAAAGAAATCATAGATGTCATCAGCAATATCATATTGCTGACATGGAGATTCTTGGGGACATACCTGAGTAGCGATTCCAGCATGATCAGTTCCAGGAACCCAAAGTGTTGGTCTTCCCTTCATCCGGTGGTATCTAACCATGATATCCTAAACAAGTAAAAAATGAAAGCAATTTAACCCTGATATCATAGTCAGCTTTCCTCTTTTCGCATATTAAATCAACAAATTCAAAGTGATATGAACTATAAGACCAAAAAGCTAAGCTTTTGGCTCCTCATATCAGTATAAGCAGCAATGTAAAAAAGCCAGGAGTGAAAGATATTATAAGCAAATAAGATGAAATTGGAAATGCCACGATTTAGCTTCAGTCAAATTAATGTTAATTAAGAGCAAGTCTTGCCAGATTAGCATAACCAACAAGTACTCAATCAACAACTAACAAAAAAACAGTAACAACCTCGAGTGTCACAAACATTGCATGCCCCATGTGCAGTGAACCAGTCACGTTAGGCGGTGGCATTGAAACGACAAAAGGATCAGTTCCTCGATCAAAGTTTGGCTTAAAATATCCTTGAGCTTCCCACCTAACAAGAAACAGTCAATGTTACATTACATCTAGAACAATCGTTTTATGGTTGTCCATTCATCAGCTTGAACATTAGCGGATGGATATACTTTAATTCCCAAAATGTCAATGTCTCAATATTAGACAACTCGCTAAAAGTAAATTACTCTCCAGGGAATCCCAGGTACCAAACAACAAGCTGGCTAAGTTGCATAGACAGGCAGCCTAGCAATTGGCAACAACAAGTTTGATTTCAAGCACTCATCAATTAGAAATGTAGCAAAATCGAGAAACTAGCCGGTGTGAGGTAACAGGCAAACAGCAATATGGTCAGTGTTAGCAATCAGTGTTAGAAAGCAATAACCATTGACACAATCATACAAGACGTGTGCTTCCCAAGAGAAAAAACGAAACCTTCAATAAAGCTCCCAAATTTTGCCATCACAAGTAATGCTAAAAAATTTATGTACTTGCCCACAGTGAGCCGCCTAAAAGTTTTCCACTTTCTTTGCATCGATTATTTGTGATGTCTGCCAATTCGTATAGGTATTGGTTCAAACACTACTATCCTCTAAGAGCCAAAAGAAACCAAGCCGCAACAAGCAACGTGCTCGAGGGAGAGAGTAATCAGACTCTGAAGAAAGTCACGGTGCTGTGCCTGGTAAATGCAAAGCCATAACACAACCAAGCTGCTAAATTGGCCAAAATCACGTCTTCCAGAGAGTAAATCAGACTCGAAGCACATTAGATACGGCCCAGCAATTGCCTAACGGCACTCATTAACATGTCACGATTAATAAACAAAACACCCTCAGGCACTAAGGAAGTTATGCAGCGAACAATCAAATCCACCAGGGGCTACTTCGTCCAAGAAGACGATACCAGTTGTAGATTCTCTCCTCGGAGGCGAAATCGAAGTTCTTCGCAATCTCCGGAGAAGTGAAAACGCCATTGTCCGACGCCGCCGCAACTGAAACGCGCTCGAAACAAACTCGACAAGTCAGAGCAGAGAGAAACAAGCAAAGCACCGGGCTACTCCCAAGCGAACAACCTCACGGAAACGACCGCGACACATCAGAGAGACAATTTACCTGCGAAGAACCTAACTCTCGAGCTGCAGAGTCTCCGGCGAGAAATCCCGACGCACCGGCGTCGCCGCGCCGAGAGGAGGAGAGGATTCAGCCGGTAAGCCGAGCGAGAGGAGAGGAGCGACGGCCCGGAGATGGCCACGTGGAGCATCGTTCGCGGCCGTATCGGAAGCCGAGAAACGGTCTCCGAAGCTCCGAGCTCTACAGGTACGGCTCGAGACGGCGGCGATGTGCAGTTGCAGAGAGCTTCGCGAGCGTGGCGGAGGAAGACGAAGAACGAGTGAAACCGGGGAAGGTGAAGCGGATAATTGGGAGGGAAAGAGGAGAAGAGGAGGAGCCGGATGATAATGAAGATGCGATGAAAACGGTAATGGGCTTCATGGGCCGATGTGGTTGATGCTTCGTATTGGGCCGACTCAGGAGCCCGAGTTCAGTGGGCCCACCAGAATTTATCCATCACACTTTTCCCCTCTCTACATGAGAGAAAATATTTAGTGGTTTGTTACTACCACCGCATAGCATCATATGTGCCACATATCCATTATCATCAGCTGATATCTCTTCACCTCTCAGCTCTCTCTTCTTCTCTTCAGTCCATAGCCGCCCGACCTTCGCTCCTCCCCTGTCGTCGCTCACTAGCGGAGGCGCCGACACCGTGACCTAGTTTACCACCGCTGCATCCAAGCAAGCGTGGCCGCCTCCCTCTGTTTTCTCCGTCTCAGGATATGGCCGTCCATGGTCAAAATCGTGGGTGCTTGTCCATGGCCGTTGTCGGCATCGTTCATCCATGGTCGAACGCATTTAGGCGTCGTCTCTATCGTTCATCCATGGCCGACCACGAGCCGATTGCAAGGGACGGCATATCTCGATATTTGAGCTCTGTCCATACCTTCAAGATGTTGACCTCATTCGTCGCCATGGCCGACCCCGAGCAGACTACAAGAAGACGGCTTCCTCTGTTTTTTTTTTCTTGATAAGTGAGCTCTGTCCATGGCCTTCGAGATCAAGACCGGATCTAGAGACATGACTCCAGTCTAGATCTAAAAGGAAAATGACTGTGAGTCGCCGTGACAATAAAGGGGTGGCTCGGCCGTCAAGGGGGCCGATCGCTAGCCGACTACAAGGGACGACAGAGCCGGCCGCGAGCGACGAAGGAGGAAGACAGAAGTAACCAAGAGCACGATGGAGGGGAAGCTTCCATGGGTGAATAGATGCAAATTTTTTTTTTGTTTTACTTTTATTCCAAATCAATGGCACATGTCAATTCACGATTGGATTTGAGTAAAAAACACATATCACGTCAGTAGCTAATGTGGTAGTAACATATTACTGAATATTTTCTCATATATATAAAACGGGTGAAGAACACTAGAAGTGCAAAAACTTGTGTACGGCGCTCACTTTAGTGCCAAAAGTTTGTTTCGGATCACCTAAGTGCCACTTTTTTGAAAAAACGATCACTTAAGTGCCAACTCCGATTTGGGTCGCCGGAAATCTAACGTGGCCATATTTTATTAATTTCTCAGTCCTACGTGGCACGTCGGCACTGACGAGGACAATATTTAATAATATTTTACTATTTTTTTTTTCTGTTTTTTCTTTTCTTTCTTCTTCTTCTTCGTTTGGCCTGTGACCAGACACCGGCCATGGCCGCCTGCCTGGCCTCGCCCGGACGAGGCCGCCGTCGCCCGCCACGGGCGAGGCGAGGCCAGCCCTCGCCCAGGCATGGCGGCCTCGCCGGAGTCGCCTTCCCCGAGCGACGCCCGGGGAGGTCGCCGTGGCCTGGGTGAGGGCCGGCCTCGCCTCGCTGGGGCTCGCCCTTGCCCAGGCGAGGCGAGGCCGGCCCTCGCCCAGGCCACGGCGGCCTCGCCGGGCGTTGCTCGGGGGAAGGCGACCCCCGGCGAGGCCGCTGTGGCCTGGGCGACGGCCGGGCGACCCCCGACGAGGCTAGGCGGCCGGCCATGGCCGGTGGCCGGTGTCCGGTCACCGGCCAAATGAAGAAGAAGAAGGAAAAAAAAAAGAAAAAAGTAAAAGAAGGAAAAAACAGAAAAAAAAACCAAAAAAATAATAAAAAAATTCGAAATTTACACGTGGAAATGCCACGTAGGACTGAGAAATTCGAAATAGACACGTGGAAATGCCACGTAGATTAAAATTTTAATTAAAAAAGTCACGTATTAATTTGGCATGAATTTCTCACCGTTGGCACTTAAGTGATCGTTTTTCTCTGATTTTGGCACTTAAGTGATCCGAAACAAACTTTTGGCACTAAAGTGGGCGTCGTACACAAGTTTTGGCACTTCTAGTGTTGTTCTCCCTATATAAAACAAATCACATGTAGAGTCCAAGCATTGATTCCTATCGGTTTCAAGCCTAAAGATTTTTTAACTCTCTTGAAATGGAATCTATTCCAAGCATATATGGTATAGTGGTCGAATAGTGATTGTGCTGCAATGTGGCGGTGCCCTAACTTTTGCGTGATTTAACCTAAAATCCGGGCGAGACGGCTTCTTAAGAACCGTTGGAAATTGCTGTAGGCCTACGGCTGTGGAGGAGTTGCAATTGTGTGCCGTGATGTGCTTGTCAAATACCTTATGAAAGTCACCGTGCAACCGTTTTCCATGACTGGAAATGTTGCGGGAAGACTTTACCAAACAGCCGCGTAGATCTCCAGTGCAAATTGAACGATCGATCATTGTGAGATGTGTTGTAAAGACTAGCTAATTGTGTTTAAGATTCTAGAGTGAAATCGTCATTTAAGCCACATGACTAGTGGTGCTTTGACTTTTGGGCATCCACAAAGTGATTCTTGAACCCGTCTAAAGACATTTCGGCGTTTTATAATATTCTTGAACGCATGTCATTCGTACGTATTATGTGATCAATTGTCAAATTGAATAGAAAATGGATGAAAACACTCATCAAAATTTGCCGATCGAGAGTTAAATTCGACAATGCGTCCTCTTCGGATGTCAAATACAGTTTAAAAACGATGCTTGGAGATTTCCTTTCTCGCCCAAAATGGTAAAATTGAAAATTAAGTGATGAAAACGAAAATAAAATGTTGTTTTATGATAGCTGAATATTGAGTCGGGATAATGACATAAACAGTCCCTGAACTTTGGCTCAATGTGTAATTTGGTCCATAAACTTTTAATTTGTTTAATATAGTCCCTGAACTTTAGCTTAATACTTAAAGAGGTCCCTGAATTTTTTATACATGTTTAACGTAGTCCTGGAACTATATGAAAATATTCAATGTAGTCCTTGAACTTGAATTAATGGAAAGACTATATTAAACATTTCCATATAATTCAGAGACTGGATTGAACATGTACCAAAAGTTCAGGGATGACGTTGAACAAATTAAAAGTTCATGGATCATATTGCATATTGGATTAAAGTTCATGGACTACATTGAGCAAATTAAAAGTTCATGAACTAAAATTACATATTGGGCCAATATTTAGGGACTGTTTGTGCCATTTTCCCTATTGAGTAATATTCTTTCCTACAAAAAACGAGATTATCAATTTCATTGGTAGGTTTTAGGCTTTTAACAATGTAATAGGCAAGATATATTTCCTACTCGGATGCCTTTTCTATTGAAGTAATTAAGTAACCTCATCCTTACTTAGCCTATTAAGTGACTTTTTGACTTAATTAGATATCTTAAATCAAAACTAGTTATCTAATCAAACATGCTTGATTTCGTTCAATGTTGAATATATTAATTTTCGGCACTTACTGGAGTAATCAAATAGGCCCTTGGACTTGGTGCATGACAAAAGATGGATATTTTCTCATCTTTCGTGGAGATGAGCAATTTGTAGCTAGAAGTTGAGGCATTACTTTGGTAGAATTTTTTGGACTTTGGTTCCGTTTGTTTCGTGGAAAATGCGACAATTCATGGAAAATGCTTTTCATTAAATCGTTTTTTAGGAAAATAACAATATTTTCTGGTGTTTGGCTGAAGCCTGAAAATGAACTAAAACTTACTTTCTGTCGTTTAGTAAGGAAAAGCTTATATACACTATTCGGGTGCCAGTGAATTGCGTCTGGATAGTCAGAGAACTAAGCACGGGCCCCAAGGTCTCGAGTTTGAATCCTCGGCTCCCGGGCACAAACACGAGCATCGATCTTAGTCCATAGAAGCTAGGCCCAAGAACTCAATGCTTGTGCCCGAAACCCTAGCCTCGTGCCTAGGACCTCGGCTCTCGGGCCTTAGTCCATCGAGGTCAAACCCTAGACCAAGTGCCTGGGTCTTGGTCCATCGAGGCCAGGCTCCAGACCTTGGCACCTAGGCGTAGGTCTATTGAGGCCAAGCCTGAGACCTCGGTGCCAGTGCCCAAGTCCCGTAGCATCTGCACCTGTGCTTAGGTGCAGTGAGGTCGGGCCTTGGGACCCCCGCACCTAGGCCCAACAAGGCTGGGCCTCAGTACTTGGGTCCATAGATGCCGGGCTCGGGACCCTAGTGTCAATGCCCAAGTCCTTCCAAACCGAGCCCGTTCTCGGACCTCACGCCCTAGACCAAGTCCCCTCACTGGGTTGGCATCTACCGAGGTTGGGCGCGGGCCCTGTCCCAGCCTGAATAGATCCAAGCATAGGACCTTAGCACCTTATCTCAATGGACTTGGGCTTGCCCTCAATGGATTCGGTAGACCGAGCCCCGACCATTAGACCTGGCCTCGTTGCCAAGGGCTCGGGAACAAGTGTCGGGTGCCCAAACGTAAAGTTTTTGATCAAAACATTAATATCTAATCATATTTTAGAAAATATTTTTCGATTTTCATTAACTCATTTTTCTAAGCGATTCAAATATTTTTTCGAGAAATATTTTCCGCCGGACTCTATCATTTTATTAGTTTTCGGTGGAATTCCCGAGGTGGGGGAGTTCAGATTTTCGCCAAGCAGCGGAATAATGGATAACACCAGATTTTGGTGGTTTCTGCCATTGGAATCTTGTCTTCAAACCTCGTTTGGCGTCCATGGAATCAAACTGACGTATTCACTCCTTCCTCATTCACATATATCAATTGATCATAGGTCTGCTAATTTCACGGACAAGAGAGGAACACAAAGTTCGCCGCATATCACCTTGGATAATGATATAACTCAGAAAGTAACCTCTGCAAACCGGAGAGATCACGAGAAATCGAGCTTCGGACCTCTGGTTCTAATATCACCCAAGAATCAAAGCTTATCACATCATTTGATCAACTAATCGCTAAGCTGGCTTTCTATATTGCAATCTTGTTTTAGGAAACATAGACTTTTGTCTTTGATCATAATGAAGACACATTTCCTAATGTTATTTCCCAAACTTGTCGCGTGGCAGAGAAGTTGATTCGCTCAATCCATGCTAATACATGAACGTTAAAGAATAGTCCATGGCCCATGCATGAAACTCAATCACTAGAGTCCAACCAAGGCCGCAGGGAATATTGAGAAGACCTATGTTTGGGCGCTCCAAACAGCATCTTCCCAGTCCTCCTCTTCTTTTATAATTAGTAGCAAAGATTAACAGAAACACCAAAGATCAACACATTGGTGTTCTTCCAAACTCCAAACTTCATCTCACTGCAATGGCCCTCTCATCTAGCATCACTTGCCATGAAAACTCTTCTCTTGCTCGCCATTTCGTTCACGGCGTCAATAATTGTAGTTTCTCTAGATTGCACCACTCTCTCCGACTCAGTAGTTTGAGATTTCCGGCGAACGTCCGGGCCGTCCACGTGGAGAATCCGTCGACGGTGCAACAGTCTCTAGCCCGAGATTTAGTTCTTCCCAAGGAAGGACACGACCTTCTTTTGCCATTCCAATTCGACCACTACATGGCCACAAAGGCCAAGCTAGTGAACCAAGCCCTAGACATGGCAGTCCCTTTGCAACACCCTCTAAAGATCCATGAAGCAATGAGGTACTCCCTCCTTGCTGGCGGGAAGCGCGTCCGGCCGATCCTCTGCCTGGCCTCGTGCGAGCTCATCGGCGGTGACGTGTCCTCCGCGATGCCAATGGCATGCGCGGTCGAGATGATCCACACCATGTCGCTCATCCACGACGACCTCCCCTGCATGGACAATGATGACCTCCGCCGCGGGAAACCCACCAACCACAAGGTGTTCGGCGAGGAGACTGCAGTCCTCGCAGGAGACGCCCTCCTCTCGCTGGCCTTCGAGCACGTGGCGGCCAGGATGGACCCCGATGTCCCCGCCGACAGCCTCGTCCGGGCCATCGCCGAGCTCGGCTTGGCCGTTGGGTCCAAGGGACTCGTGGCGGGGCAGATAGTGGACATCGCGAGTGAGGGGAAGGAGATCAGCTTGGGGGAGCTGGAGTACATCCACATCCACAAGACGGCGAAGCTCTTGGAGGCGTCGGTTGTGTGCGGCGCGATCGTCGGTGGGGGGAATGAGAGCGAAGTAGAGAGGGTGAGGAAGTATGCGAGGTGCATAGGGCTGCTGTTCCAGGTGGTGGACGACATATTGGACGTGACCAAATCGACCCAAGAGCTGGGCAAGACCGCCGGGAAAGACTTGGCAAGCAATAAGGCAACGTATCCAAAGCTAATGGGGATCGAGAAGGCCATGGAATTCGCCGGCGAATTGGTGAAGAAAGCCATTGAAGAGCTTGTTCATTTCGATGCTGCAAGAGCAGCGCCTTTGTTGCATTTAGCAAATTATATCGCCACTAGACACAATTAAATTTTTGAGGACCACGCATATGATGCGCCACTTTCTATTCGATCTCGTCCAGGATGTACTATGTAATTGTACGTACATGTGTCGGGGTGCTACAAGATTGGTTTCTCTTCTTCGTATTGCAAGTAAATTAAATCTTGTGCTTTATGATCGATTACAAGCAAGTAATAAATCATAAATAAGACCAAGAAGCGGGCCTCCACAAATTAGATAATCGCACGAAAGTAAGCTTCGCAACGTAATATGCAACCATAACCATGATTTTCGTGGGACTCACATGGATTTTGCATGATGATGAAGGGATGTGATGTAATTATTTTGATTTATATGGACTCGAATTCAATCGATCATAATATATTGAGATAATGATGCAAATAATTCTCGAATTTTGGCACAATGTGCAATGTGGTCCATAAACTTTAGCCAAATGTGCAATATCGTCTTTAAACTTTTAATTTGTTCAACATGGTCCTTGGACTTTTGATACATGTTCAATTTAATCCTTGAACTATATGAAAATGTTCAATGTTGTCATTCAATCAATTCAAGTTTAGGGACAAATTTTCATATAGTCCAAGGATTAAATCGAACATGTACCAAAAGTCCAGACATCACATTGAATAAATTAAAAGTTTGGAGATGACATTGCACATTAGACTAAAATCCAGAAATCATATTATATATTAAGTCAAAATTTAAGGATCATTCGTGTTATTTATCCTAATATATTTTTCCAATTATCTCGTACTAATCATCTCCAAATAATATAGGACAAAATAGGTTACATTATTTTCCCTTTCGTTGACGTTCGACGTTTAGGTGAAAATGCACGATATGATGTCTTGTCAATATCATCATGCTTCAAGATGTTAGTGGTATTGCATAGTATGTGGAGACGTCTCGTGGAGGACAATGCACTGGAGAAGGAAGAGAGAAGGAAGAGACGTCAAATGATTGCATACCACCATCAAAACTAGCTCGTGTTTTTCACCTAATTAAAATCATGAAGTTTAGACTCGCGACATTTGATCGCGCGAGCAAAACGGAAAAAGCCCCTCCGCATAAATTTATAGGTTAATATTACGAAATATCCTAAATTGATACGTATGTGATAAATTTATCTTAAACTTATCTTTTTATCATCAAAAACCCAAAACTGATACATTTCTGACAAATTTATTCTCCATTAGTTTTCATTAAATTTTACATTCAAATGACTGAGTTGGGTAACACGCGGAAGTTGACAGGTGTACCGGTTTGGGGTTTTACCCTTTGTGTGTCAATTTGTGATTTTTCGTGGTATTAATCCAATTTAACGGAAACTAATGGAGGTCAAATTTGTCACAAATGCACAAGTCTGGGGTTTTTGATGGTTAAAAAATTAGTTTGAGATAAATTTATCACTGGTGTACCAGTTTGAAAATTTTTGTAGTAAACCCTAAATTTATCCATCTAATGCGATTCGAGCACCAAATATTTTCAATTGATCGATTCCGATGTGTGTACATACAGATCGTTTCATCACGTAATGTGATCCACCGTCGAATTAATCCTCCGGGCTCCTAAATTTGACCGAACATTATGCTCGATCCGAATAGAACAGAGCTAATTTGTTGTTGAATTTGTATGTATTGTACGGAAAATACTTCCGAAAAACTAAGGATGAATAATAAAAAAGACTTGGGCATTGCAAAGTTGACTGGTCACTGTGCAGAGTTGCAGTGTAATAACGCGATCGATCCTCGTGCGTCGCAAGTTTCTGGATGCGCAGGGTGGGTCCCGGTCGGTTCTCATTAATTAAAAGTTGGAAATTTGCAAGTTTGGTGCGAGTCCCGCGTTCAATTTCCGGTCGGCATGACCCTTCTAGATGGCCCTTTGGCTTTGCTTCCGGGGTCTTTCCTAGCTTGGCCGCGAAGCAAATTAAAGTCTAATGTTCCATTTGTTCCGGAAAAAAAAAGATTATTTATATCATTTGAAATGATTAATCAGTTAAAAAAATTTTAAATTATAATAATTTATATCTAAATATTTTCGTGAACAATGGAAATATTTGTCGTTCATTCGTTTCTGTAAGCGATACAAGCGATCATAAGAAAATGTTTTTCGAATCGTTCATTTTCAGCGGAACGAACATCTCCTAAATTCAATCCTATTCCCGACATTAAACCCAAATTGGCGAGGTATGAGGCCTTAATTAAATGAGATTGACTCCCACAGTTTAAAAAGGCTTCCTGATTGACCTTGCTTATATGTCAATCTTCTTATCGCCTTTTTCCCCACCTTAAATTTCTCGACCCGCTTGTACCGTAAAAATCATAGAGTATATCGATAATGCAGCTGCCGTCGAACGGTTCGACCACAGAGCTCGATAGATATCCAAATACTAAAAACATTAGTCGTTCGGATTTCGTCCGCCGGGGGTTACTTCACGGGTTCGAGATTTCTACATAGGAAATAATTAATACTCGACACTTTCGATGCAACCTGACCCTTTAGGCACAAGACCCTGTGACGATTCTGACGAATACTCATGTTAAGAAATAATCAAACTTCTTGGGAACTAATAAAAGAATAGCTTGTCATAGATCGGATCCAAGTTATTGTCCACGCGAAAATAAATAAATTACCAAGTTGGAAATTAATCGTACTTTTTTCGTCGCGCAAGCCAATGCGAGAAATTTCTGACTTGTTTCTTGCTCATCTTCTTCTTATTGTACCGTTTTCGAAGCGAATGACTTGGTACGGTACCGTGTTTGATGCTTATATAGAGACGCTCGCGTGATGTTGGACTTAGCCATCGGCTGACTTGCTTCGCCACAGCGTAGGGACATAATAGGATCGCCGTCCTTCCTCCCTTTGTCGTTCTTGAGCATCATCACCATCTTCTTCCTCCTCTTCTTCTTCTTCTTCTGCTGCTGCTTCTTCTGCTTCTGATTCTTCAGCTATGGAACACCTGATGGGTCTTCTCAGGATTCACGTCCACAGAGGCGTCAACCTCGCCGTCCGCGACGTCAAGAGCAGCGATCCTTATATTATCGTCAAGCTCGGCAAGCAGGTTCTCATCTTCTTGCCTCCTTCCGAGCTCGAGAATCCCGGCTTTCGTTTTCCCTTTTTTGGGTCTTTGAGTTTGGTTTTTTGGGCTCCCTCTTGTCTGTGGGAAGTTGTCAATATCAGAACTCTGTGGTGTTCTTGCAGAAGTTAAAGACTCGGGTGGTGAGGAAGAACACGAACCCGGAATGGAACGAGGATCTTACGTTGACCGTCGCCGATCCGAGCCTTCCCGTTAAACTGGTGAGATCACGGCGTCCTCTAATAGTTTAAGCTTCTTGGAATGAACTGCTTCCGTTGTCTGATTTTAAGTGATTAAACCGGAGTTAGGAATTTCAAGTTTGATTCAGATGAGATGACCCAATCCAAACTGCTCTGTTAACTTTTAAGTTACTGGCAAAAATTTTGCAGTTTGTCTACGACAAGGACAGGTTGAGCTTCGACGACAAGATGGGGGACGCGGAGTTCGAGATCGGGCCCTTGGTGGAGGCGCTCCGGATGCGCCTGGACGGGCTCCCGAGCGGGACCATCATCACCCGGGTCCAGCCCACCCGGCAGAACTGCCTCGCCGACGAGAGCCGCGTCGTCTGGGCTGACGGCAAGGTCGTGCAGGAGATGGTCCTGAGGCTCCGCAACGTCGAGAGCGGCGAGATCGAGCTGCGGCTGGAGTGGATCGACATCCCCGGATCGAGAGGGCTGTGAAATCATCTCGCCGTCGCGGCCCCGTTTCGATCTCGCCCTCGCCTGTGATGTGTTTGCGCTGTTCAGTGTACATCCAGCAGGGAAAGGACCCAGCCGAATAAAGTGTGTCAATGGTGCTTGGTAGGAGAGACAGAGAGCAACGTGTACATTGAACACTTTGAATTTGGACCGCTTGACTTTTGTGTAGAAACCAGTTTAATTTCGGGTCACCAATCACCAAATTTGTCCCAACCGACGCGCACTTCGCTCTTTCTTGACCAAAAATATTCCAAGACACAAAGGAATGAATCCACACTGAGATCCAAGTCACCCAATTCAAATGCGGGTATGAATCGGCCTTATCTACGATGTTATCGGTTGCACGAGCTTAACGGATGACAAATCATAACGCGTTCGCTTGGACAGAAAAGAGAAGGCAACAATAAGAAAAGAGGAAAAATATCGAATCTTTAGCGACGAACTATGCGAAAACTCGAGATAACTATGCAAAAATACACTCCAGGTACGTACTATCGTCACGTTGAGAATTTACCTAAACTCAAGCACGCCGGTTCTAAAAGAGTCGACTATTGGAAAGACAGCGAGGTGGGGGTGGGTGAGGAGTTAGGAAATTCTTTTTTTTCGAGGAAATTAACAGACCTTATTATCTCCATCCACAAATGTGGATCCGATCTACTGTTTAATATAAAGTCATTAAAAGCAGCAGCTACTCAAACGCTAAACGACGCGCCCAAAACTCCAGGAAGATAAGTCAACGTCCATGGCGGAGATGACGGAGTGGAACCGTCTCCTACTCCAAATATTTTTCCCTGCGGTCTTCGTCTCGAGACAGGCATCTAGAATAAAATAAAATAATTCCTTGAATTGTTTGTTTTTTTTTTTTGTGGGGGCAAAAGAAGGCAACGGTTTAATCTGACTTTCACACGAAAAATTGCCCAAAAAGTCATAAACTTATTGCACTTTTGCCAATTCAGTTATAAACCTTTCAAGTTTGCCAATTGAATTCTAAACCTTTTCACTTCTTGCCAATTGAGTTCATCTAGCCAATTTTGGCTCCCGGCGTTGTCGTGGACACCGGCCGTCCAGCCAACGCTGACATGGCAATTTTTTTAAAAGCATTTTAATATTTTTTTTTCGAATTTTTTTTATTGTTTTCCCTTTTTTTTTCTAGCCTTCTTCCCTCTAGCCGGCTTGATCGACCTTGTCGGCCTTTGGCGAAGCTTGCCCTCGTCGGTCGCCTCGGTCTCCCTTGCCCAGGCGAGGTCGAACCTTGCCCAGCCTGGCTCGCCCTCGCCAGACCTCGCCGGTCCTCGCCTCTGGCCGGTCCGGCTGGAAGAAGGCCAGAAAAAAGGAAAAAAGATTTGAAAAATATATTTTAAAAAATTGCCACTCCGGACGGCCGGCATCCACGTCAGTTTCGGGTGGCCAAAATTAGCCGGGTGGACTCAATTGACAAGAAATAAAAAAACTTGGGACTCAATTGGTAAACTTGAAAGATTTATGGCTGAATTAGCAAAATTGTAATAGATTTAGGACTTTTTGGATAATTTTCCCGACTTTCACGGCATCCACTTTTTTTTTTCTTGAATTATATATTTTGGATAATTGCATGGGAGGTTCCCGAACTTTTCGTCCGTGCAATAATACTTTTCCGTCGGGATGGTCAGATGTGTTGTTATGAGGAATACTCACGCTTTCGTTTTCAGCTGTCTCGATGTCGAAAATTTCCGATCCGGCGACGCCATATGGAAAACCATGTGTCAAATTAAAAGTCAGCTGTGAAAAGTTGGAATGTAATCCTTTTTCTTCTTATTGGTAAATAGAAATGTGATTCGTATGTGAAGACTTTCGAAGAAGTTGCTTTCAGCATTAGAAGAGGAGGCCAAGGTCAACAACAATAACAATGAAAAAAGGGTATATTTCGACGAAAATATGCATGACTTTACATGAGAGAGCTGCCTCGAGGTCCGACAAGATGTAAGACATGCACGGTTTTCTAACAAAGTAAGGTTTTGAAACAAATATTTTCTGCGTTTTCAATTTTAAGATGGTGCTAAACTTTCGTTCCGTGACCTACGACAAGGCTATATGACTGTCCACGTCAATGTTGGCCGTGCCACGTTAGATGACCGGCGTCCACGTCGGTGATTTCTGGCCAAAATTAGCTTGATGGACTCAATTGAGAAAAACATGAAAATGTTTATGACTCAATTGGCAAAATTTTAAAAAAAGTTGAGGATGGAATTGGTAAAAGTACGATAGGTTTGTGACTTTTTGGACAGTTTTCCTGATATAAACAGCTTGTCTTTTGATTTAAATGCTCGGTAAAAAAAAGAGGAAAATCCACGTAGTCCTGACTTAATATGGACTTAGAAGTTTTTATTTACCTTAATTAGAAATCTTTGATATTTACCAACTCCTTCTAAAGATTACTAACCTAAATTACTGTGACTCACAAGCTTTTCTCTCATAAAATTACCACATAGTATTAGGCTACCAACTCTTATTTGAGTTGCTTACCAACATTTATAATTTCATTTTCTCAATTTGTCAACTTTTCTTATTTTTTGCAAACTTTTTATTTGCATTGGTGAGAAAGACAAATAAAAAAAGATAAGACAAGTTAATAATTTACCAAGTGCAAAAGATATTAGAAATTTGGGATAAGAGCACTAGAAGTTCTAAAACTTGTCATGGAGGTGCAATCGAGTTTCAAAAAGTGCAATCAAGTCCTAAAACTTGTCACAAAAGTACAATTAAGCCCTAAAACTTTCAAAAAGTTCAATTGAACCCTAAAATTTATCAAGTCGGTGTAATCAATTCCTAAAATTTGTTAGCATTTTCCGTTTGTCAAATTGGTGGAAGAACTTGACTGCACCGATTTGACAAGTTTTAGGACTTGATTGTACTTTTTGAAAGTTTGAGAACTCAATTACACTTTTATGACAAATTTTAGGACTTTTAGTACACTTATTCTTGATAATTTCATATAAGTGTTGGTATTAACAGTAAGTTATCAAGAAATCAGGTGATCAGTACTTTTTTTTATAAACAGTTTTTTGATATTTATCAACTTTTTCATAAATCTATTAGTATAAAAAAAGAATCTCGATCACAAAACAACGGAATCGCGCTGCTCGCATAGCTTCAAATCTGGAGTTGACAACATATATTAATGCCGATACATACGTACGTATGCCAATAACATTCATCTTGTTGAAATATATTTTTTGAGTGACGTAGGGCAGCGTCCGTTGATTGGTTCCCATGCATCTTTAAGGAACGAAATTTTACATAGATCTCCACCAGAAGTGACTGAATGAAAATTAAATTTATTCATGCACAATCGTTACCGTGGTCTAGGATAAACAACGGGCCATCTTCTGTACTCCCCTTTATCATTTTTTAAATTAAGAGATTTGTGTATAACCAGGGAGGGCATCAACCATGTTAGGTAAAGTAAACTTTGCAATTATCCATCATCTTATTGAATGCAACAAGTCCAACACCCCACTTTTTTTTTTGGTCGGAATCCTACACCCTACTTTGAAATGATCATATAAGAATTCAGAGCGAAATATCCCAAGATGGACGAGAAAAGGGACTCAATATACTTTATGGTTGAAGGGGCCGTCTCGAAGCAGAAAAGACCATCGCGTCGACAATCCTAGTTCTCAACCTTTCAGGAACATGATTCTCTAATTTGACGGAGGGGTTGTGAGATCTTCTGAGAATTCATGTACACGGAGGAGTGAACCTCCCTCATCAGAGATCTCAAAACCAGTGATCCTTACGCTGTTGTTAGGATGGCAAAGCAAGTTTGTGGGGCAAAGTATCAAAAAAGTCATAAACGTATTGCATTGGTACAAATTCAGTAATAAAATATTCAATTAGACTAATCTAATCTTAAACATTTTCACATTGGTACCAATTCAGTCCATCCGGTCAATTTAGCCTGAAAATCGCTTACTGAGATGTCAACCACTCTATATGGCACGACCAGCGTTGATGTTGATATTTTTTTTTATAATTTTTTCTTTTCTTTTTTCTTTTTTCCTTATTTCCCTTTACCAGTCACCAGCCTCTATGATGGCCGGCGAAGGTCGTTGGCCATAGGTGAAGCTGGCCCTCATTGGTCTTTGGCAAGGGAGTGAGGGATGGACAAGGCCGCCCCCGCCCGATCCGGCGAGGGCCGACTTCTCTTGTGGCGGCAAGTATGTCTATGATGGGACACTGGCATAGTCGGCGAGCAAGGCGAGGTAGTTCATGATGTAGCGCGTCAGAGGCGGGATGCCGCCACTGGGGACTACTGACTGCTTGGAGGAGTCCCTTTAGATGGACTTTCGACTAAGGTGGAAGCATAAGTGAACACCTGGCCGCATAGATCTTCTTGCTATTGAAGAGCATTTGGACCGCCGGCTTCACAATGCTCAACCAGCTCTTGGCCTTCACTTCCAAAGCCTCCTCGTCCATCTTCTGCATGTGCCAAGGGTCGATCAGCCTCTCAAACCCTAGATGATACAGTTCCTAATCAACTACCGATCGTCATATGAATTTGTAGACTTTTATGCACTCTTTGCCATACCCACAATCGATCATGCAGTCCGTGATGGCCCTTAGATCGGAAACTGCTGCATTAGGAACTCGCTCCTCTTCCTGCATTACTAGCTCAATAGTGAATTGCTTCGTCGATAACTTGCGTAGCCCTCGTTAGAGGCCGGCGAGGGCTTCCCAGCCCTCTCCCTTGTCGGCGGTCGGCGACCTCTTCTGACCACCACGGAGGCTAGTGATTGGCGGAAGGAAATAAGGAAAAAAGAAAATAGAGAAAGGAAAGAAAAAAAGAAAAGAAGGAAAAGAGAAAAAAAGAAAAGGAAAAAGAAAAGAATAAATTAATAAAAAAATTGACAATTTTAAAAAAAAAATATCTATGCCATCACCAGCCGTACCACATAGACGGTCAGTGTCCACGTCAACAATTTCTGGTCTAAATAAGCCGGATGGACTTAATTGGTACAAATGTGAAAATGTTTATGACTAAATTGATCCAATTGAAAGGTTGGTTTAGAACTAAATTGATACCGATGCAATATGTTTAAGACTATTTTTGTACTTTTCCCTAAGTTTGTGTGTGGATTTCTTTCTTTCTTTATTCTTTTGCTTAATTTCCTTCTATGAGATTTCGTTATATTTTAATTTGCTTCTAGGTCTACACA